TATTTCAATTTGTGTGGCTCTATTTGGTTTCAGGATTCAAGAAATCTCGTACTAAAATAATTAAAATTTTTATATGAAATTAATTCAAGCCTTTACTGGATTCCCTTAGCTCTCCTTGAACTGACATACAGTTGAACCTCCCGTAAGCGACCACCCAAAATGTGAAACTTCGGTGGCTGCTCATGGGAAGTGGTCGCTTATGAGAGTTTAGAGAGATTTAGAGAGGTCAAAATTTTACCTCACTGGTATATAGTAACTGTTGAGACAGAACAGTTAGTTTTGAGAAAAATACTGTACAGTCGAACCTCTATTAAGCAGCCATTCTCAGGGACTAGGCTAAATAGAAATAGCGTTCAGGTTTTACAATATTTTGTTGGGTTAAAAGCTTCAAAATCTCTGGATTCGTTGGAGGGAATGGTAGATCAACAAATCATGCAGTGGCAGATCCAGGATTTTTCTTAGGAGGGGGTACACCACTGAGGAATGGCAATACTGACTAGTGAGGTAAACAAATTTTAAAAGCGAATACGAAGAACGCTTCATCTCAGAGTTGGGGGGAGGGTGTGTACCCCCTGCACCCTTCTCCTAGATCCTCCTTTGAAAGGGCCACAAAGAGTCTGTCCACAGACGTTTATCTTTTTGCTACGAGTTTTCTCCCGTGAGGTTAATACTTTTGCGAATTCGAACTCAAGCAAATTGCTGCACGATAATGATGAGTCTTTTAAGTTATAACTGAGCTTTCAAATCTTTCAGAAATGGGCTGAAATTTTGATTATTCGACAGCTGGGAAATCGCGAAAAAGGTAAATGAGAACCGCATTCCAGGACATTCATCCACACACCCTCGTATTGTAATCACTCAAGAAGAATAGGTGATGACGTAAGCACATTCGTGGGGAATCTCTCCGATCTTGTTTATTACCTAATCACCAAAAGCGAAGTACAACTTCCTTATCAAATTAATACGGGAGCACCCCTTCTGAGCGATAAATGGGCGCCGGCGAACTTCATGCCGGGGGAAGCCTTGAGATTGACTAACATCCCATCCAGGGGGAGTAGAAATACTCCTAGTCGCTTCATGCTACAGAAACCGGGATAAACTCCGGCCGGCGTATCGCACATTCCAAATAATTACCAAATTCAGTGTATTATGTAGAAAGTGAATGATGTTCTTTTTCCGAGACAAAATGAAAATGTGTCCGTGTTGCATGACTGAACTCATTGACTGAAA